CCACTATGTCTGGCTTTTTCTGTCTTTCTTCTTGCCCCTATTTTGATGCAGGTTCTAGGCAACTGGCATTCTCAGCTCACTTGAGAGGAAGCTGGCCCTGAGTTGGTGAACTGGATGTAACAGGAAGCCACTCTTCCCGAGGAGAAGACAAGGCCAGCTCCTGGGTGGTTTCACGGTGAAGGGTAGTAGAACCTTGTTAAGACAGTCATTCTAGAACTAACTTGGAGAATTTATGAGCTAGCTGTCATCCCTTGAGAATTTGCTATCTAGATGATACCTGTCCCCTCTAAGCTATTCCAACTGCAAAAGTACACACTTAGAGAAGATAAGCAAAAGACCTGCAGAAGAAGGGGCCCTTTGTGGGAAAGTGGAAAGATTTTTAATTAAGAGTTCTGATCCTGGCTCTATAAGGTTTGTCCTTGAGATTTTTGGCAAGTCACTTTTTCTCCCAGTTCCTATTGGTTAAGCTAATTACTGGATCATTTTGAAGATCCCCTTCTTTGTGGAATGTTCCAAGTGTCTAGAGTCTTATTCTGATGGTCCCCTGAGGCTGAGTGGTAGCTGCCATCCTGCATAGGCTTGTGGGCTGCTAGAGCAAGCCCTGGCCTGGTGTCTCAGTCTCTGCACCTGAGGCTTTGGCTTGTCACAGTACCCTGGCAGAGGTGGCAGTCTCAGTTACAACTTTGACTGTACCTGCTTGTTTGAGCCTGGGGCCAGTGGGGGCCACATGGAGGGCAGGAAGCAGTCCTGAGTTCTGAGAAAGACTGTGAGTGAGTGTGTAGAGTGTGTGTGTGTGTGTGTGTGTGTGTGTGCGCTCACACACGCATGTGTGTAAGCATGCAGAGTGTATGTGTGTTTATTTTTTCTGGGACAGGGTGCTAAGTTGGAGGTGTTTGCCAGCAGAGAGCTGCCTGAGTGCCGTGTTTGTTTACTCAGCAGAGAGCAGGGAAGGACAGGGGAGAGACAAGTGCAGGAGGGCTCTCTTAGGGGCCATATGGCATGAGAATTGTCTTGGGGCCATTATGAATGGTCACCTCTGGGTGCTGCAGGTTTCAGAGTGCCCCCTCTGGGACCTGGGCTGTGCTTTGCATTCCTCCAGCAACATCCAATTGCTTATTCCCCTACCAGCCTGGCTGGCTCATCTTTCCATCGTGCTGGGGGCTTCCTTGATTTCTGAGTTTCAAGTTCCTGAGAGGCAGTGGCAGAGAGGAAAGCAGGACAGTGGGAGGGAGGCAGAACAGTAGGGTTCTAATCTGGGCCCCTCAAACCAGTGAATACCTGGCCTTTGGCAATTCATTTTCCCATCCTTTGGAGAATGAGTTTGAATTCAGTGTTTCCTTGTAGCTCTACAATTTCTTCTTTCAGAAAAGCTCGGAGATATACGCCAGCTTTTTCCCAGCCTATGGGGCCTGTATGCAGACTGCTCTGTAATCTCAGTCCTGTTCCACCCCTGTCTGAGAGTGTCTGTACTTCTTGACTTAGCCTCAGCCTTTTCAGTGGTTACATCTTTACAGGACTGCTTTCCACTGCCTCTAAGATCACTGTCCTCTATTGTCCGGGGTATAGATCAGTCATAGAGTCCCTGCCTTCAGGAGATAGAAAAGACCAATCAATAAGAGACACTCCTAACCCCCGGCTCAGCCACAGGCCAGAGGCTGGGACTGGCTGAGGCTCATGGTCATTACATCCCAGCTGGGTGGGCCAGAGACTCCCCAGAGGCCTCTACCTCCTTCCCGTTGCCCTAGGGCCCCAGCAACGCGTTGTAAGCCTCTGAGAGCACTGGCTCCCAGACTCGGGCTGGCTGGCAGCCAGGGGTGGTGTTCTGGCTCCTGCACCAGCCAGATGGGGTGGCAGGAAGGCCTTGTTAATCCCCTAGGAGAAAGCTCCTTGGCAAACAGAAAAAAGTGGCTGCCGGCACGATGCCCCTACTCAAGCGCCATGGAACACCATATCCCAGACTCTTTCGGGCAGATTTTATGCTTCTGAATGCTGCCTTCACTCGCCGGAGGGCTTGGGCTGGGGTCCTAGCTGGGACCATGGGTTGAGGAGAGAGACTGGGTTCTTTCTCTTTAGGACTCTTCCATCATACATTAATCTAAGACATGGAGAAATTATGAAGCAAGGAGGAGATGGGGCTTTGTCTCCCTCCAGGCTCCAGTGTCTCAAGCTCCTGTTAGCTCTTGGACTTTCCCAGTAGTGTTTGGAGAAACAACCAGGATTCCCTGGCTTTAGCTACTAATTTCTTCTCCTCTTCCTACCCCAACCTCCCACTGGTCCTGACGCACACTTATGTGCCACCCCATCTGCCACCATGGCTGCCTCTTCTGGTGCCATGTAGAACTAGATGAAGCACTGGAAAAATCACCCCAGGGCCAAAAAGAATCAGTGTGGAAAAATCAGAGGGAAGCATGAAACCAGATACAGAGAAGGCGGCCAGCCGGGGAGGTGGTGTTCCACCAAGCAGGCTTCCTGCTGTCCTCCCTTGGACCCAGGGCTGGCTGCTGGGCCAAGCCCAGCCTTGGTCTGCATATTTTTTTTCTGCACGCCTAGCTGGCTCATTACCAGAGAGAGCTGTGCCCTAGTTCCAGGTCTGGGAAACAGGATTCCTGTCCTCAAGCCAATTCCTCCCCTCTCTTGGCTGTCAGTGGGTGAGCTAGACCCCAAATGTTGAATGATTTCTCATTTTTCTCCACCTTCTCTGCCTCCCTTTCATCTTCATCGCTCACAGCATGGTACTAAACTAAGGCTTTGAACCTGAGATGAGTGGGATGGGTTTCACTCTTCCCAATAGCAAGAGAGGAAGCCAATCTTCTCTCAGTAGGAGAGATCTGTACATTCCCAAGGGAGCTGGTGCATGAACCTCTTTGGGCTCAGAGGGTCATGTAAGTACCACTGCCAGGCCTGGTTCTGATACTGGACCTTGGAGAGGGTCAGGAGTGAGAGGGAGTAGGGGCAACTGTCCACCAGGTTCCCTTATGCCATTCCTTGGTTTTGGCATTCCCAGGCGAATGCTGCAAACCAAGCAAGGTCCACTGTGTCCAGGTGGCCCATTCCCAAACACATTTCTATCACGGATCACTTCTCAGAAACTTTCCAAGACAGGAAATCACAACTGAGGCTGGTTGTTTAGATGGGAAAATCTGGGTGTAATGTCATTAGAGAAGCCAGTCCCCTCACATGAACCTTGGCTTGCAACCTCTCCCTGCGCCCTGGTCTGTCTGCTCCACTCTGCCTGAGTCACGACAGCAGTCAACAACTTGGACACAGAGCTTAACTATGTGCCAAGTGCTCCCACGTGAGTGTGCTGTGGCATTTACTCCCTCTCACAGCCCTGCCACATAAATTATTGTTAGCTCCTGCCCAGTGGAGGCCAGAACAGAGGCCTGGGGAGGTCATGGGGCCCTAGGAAGGTTGGATAAGCAGGAAGCAGAGGGACTTGTGGCTTAGAATCTTGTGTTCTTTCTGTGGAATCTTTTCTGTTGGAGACACAGAGAAGTAACGGGGCGGGGAGCGCCAGCACGAAGATGTCTACAGGGCAGGCAGGGGCCAACTGGGCTGGCTACTAGCTGATCTTTGTGGTGACCTCATCCCTCTCAGGTCCTTGGGAGGAGCCCAGGGGCTGGCGGGAGCTTTCTGAGGGGCCTTGAGAGCTCAGTTACTAGGAGAGGGAGTCACCTTCCTATATGCGTGCCAGGCCAGAGCTTCTCCTTTTCTTTTTCTCAGGGTCTCCTGCCCCCAGAGAACCCCGACTCCTCTTTCCTCCCCTCTGTTCCCTACTTCTTTCTGCTTCACGTTCTTGCCCTTGCACTGGGATTAGGAACAGTGTCCTGGAGTGGCAGCACTCCCACGGCACTTGGCTTTTTCACTGCCTCAAGGCCTCACTGTAGTGGTGTGTTTGCTCTGGCTCTTGAACTCTCTGAAGTCCTTTCTGGGTTCATACAGACTCCCCAGTTCCTTCCTTTGCCCTCAGTGCAATCAAACAGGCTTTCTGACCCTTCTGAGCCTCTGTTCTGGAACAGAAGGATCGAGGTTCCCAAGTCTAGACTCAGAGAAGCAGTCAGAGGAGAAACACAGTGTGACCTCTGTTTCCCGGGCGAAACTATGCCAGGCCCTTCGAGTCCTCTACTGCTGTGAGCCTTTCACTCCATGACGTTAGAAGTCCTGCTCTGGCTTCTTGGGGAAGGTGACTGTGCAAAAGGCAAGTGTATTGCAAGCAATGCAATGAATTCATCAGAGGATCCAGCGTTTGTGTGTGTGTGTGTGTGTGTGTTATCCAAAACACATGTTATTGCCACTATTCTAGTTATCTTGGATATTTCCTGCATGTTTGTCACCATGGCAACTGACTCAGCAGGAACCCTTGTTAGTTGGGTCCTGCGGTCCGGCAGGGTGACCATGTGGTGTCAATTTAGGGCTCTCAGGGCTTTTCAGTCTCTCTGTCTGTCTCTGCAGTTCCTGTCTCTCTGTCTCAATGCTTTTTGTCTCTGTCACTGTCTCTGTCCCTCCCTATTCTGTCTCAGGGCTGTCCACTTTATTTCTCTGGACAATAGCTGCTTCTGTGTGATGTAGAGTGATGGTGCCCCTCTCAGCCCCTGCTGGTAGCCCTTGACTAAGCATGGCCCAGAAGGAGCAGGGAGGCTGTGAGACAGAGGACGCACAGGAAGTCACCCCTCAGTAGAGGAAGTTCTAAAGTCCAGCTTGAGGCTGTTTGTTTGCAACAGGTCTCTGCTACCCACATGATAAGTTGGGGGCCGCAGGCTTTTCAGGAAGGTTAGACTTAGGCTCTGAGGAACACCAGTCAGAAGGACATGGGCTTCTCATCCTGACTTTTCTGGGAGTGGGGGGCCACCAGTCAGAACCTTTGGTCTCTAGACTTGAAGAGAAGACATTGGCAAAAAGGCAATGGGGCCCAAATACACAGGATAGAAGCAGAGAGGGAGAGGCTGATAGCAAAGGACTGGGCAGATGTGAGGCATTCTGGGCTGCCCAGGGGTCCTCACCTTTTCCAGTCCTTTCTCTATGGGCCTTGGGGTGTGGCGGAACCATGGCAGACAGTGGTGTTCCTCCCTGGGGGCACCAGGCAACAGGGAGGGTGTTGACATTAACAGTACGTGAGGGAGCTTTGCCAGCAGTCTGGAAAAAATACTGAGAACAGACAGAATGTAAACACACAGCTCCACGGAAGTGAGGCGGCTCACGGCTCCTCTCTGTCCCCAGGTCTCACTTCCCCTTGTGTCCAGGAAGCCCAGGACTGGAAATCCCTTGTTAACCACTCGTACCGAGTTTCTGGCATCTCCATCTTTTGGAGGGGCCTTTGCAGACATCTTCCTGACTTCCACATTTGTCCTTGGCTGTTTCTATCCTCTCTGATCTTCATTTCCCAGACAAGGTAGTTCTGGGAAGTGTAACGCACCGGATTTTAGGCAGGGCTGGCACCTCTGTAGGATGGCTTGGAGGAGAGAGGAGGCGCCAGAGAGCAGAATAGGGCCTGGAAACTGGCAACTGAGCCAGAAGTGGCCCTCTTCACTGCTCCTATGGGGCCTGGGCTGAGAAAACAAAGGCTGGGGCAAGGCAGCCATGGGACTGGGACCTGACAGCAGCGTTCTGTGGCCCCCTGGCTTGCATCCCAAAGGGTGCAGCAATTCAGCCTTCTTTTGGGCCAGTGTCCTTCCAAGGAGGAATGATTCTAGGTGCAAAGCAGCAGGAAAAGTCAAGAAGGGCAGCAGTAGCATGACTCTGGGGCCAGTCATTTTGGTGCAGGGGCCCTGTGGGCTCTGGGGGGGATACAGAGAACGAGGGAAGGGACTACCATAGCCAGGCATGGTGGTGCATGCCTACAATTTCAGCAGGAAGATCAAAAGTTCAAGCCTAGCCTGGGCAATTTAACAAGACCCTTCTCACAAAATGAAAAAGGGCTGGAGATGTAGCTCAGTGCAAAGGTCCTGGATTCAATTCTCAGGACCGAAAAAACAAAATGATTAGGTGTGGCTTCAGTACATTGGAAGGTGCTAAGGTCTGACTGTTCGTGTCTCCTCCAAATGTATGGGCTGAAAACCTAATTGTTGATGTGATGATACTGGGAAGTGGGGCCTTTGGGGTGTGATTATGTCAGTCAGGTGGACCCCTCATGGATGGTATTTGTGCCCTTAAAAAGAGGCTCCAGAAAGCTGCCTTGTCCCACCATGAGAGGTGACAGTGAGAAAGTATCAACAACTTATCAGAAGGTAAGTGATAAATTTCTGCTGTTTTTAAACCACTCTGTCTGTGGCATTTTGTTACAGCAGCTGGAACAGTCTAAGATAGAATTCAGGAAAAGCTTTCTTCTCGGTGCAGAATTAAAAAGCCAAATAGGAAACAGAAGCTGGAAAAAGTTGGGCAAAGACCTGAGGAGACAGCAGGTTGGCAGCATAGGGATTGGCCTGATGTGGGTTATGGAATCAGATAGACATACATGTAACTCAAATTTCAGCTCCATCACTCAACTCTCTGAACACCTGTGTCCTCACCTGTATGATGGAGGTGGTACCAACTCCATTGAGTTCTTCTAAGCAGTAACCAAAGGAAATCACCAAAACAGTGTCTAAGATCACATGGGCGGTGCTTGATACTATTCTCTCTCCCCAGGAAAGGAAAAGCTTCAGACCATTTCTCCAAGCCTGATGTGTTTCTTGTTTCTCTCAGAATGAGCTTGGACCCTATCAGGAGCACAGTGGGAAGGGGGGAATGCTGAGAGTGGAGAGAAGACATCAGAATTGTTTGTCTTCAGAGCAGGGGACGGCACAAAACAGTCAGCCTGTCTGGGGACATACACAGGTAGGTGCACATGGGGGTAACCCAGAAGTTCCCTGCCAGCATTCTGGAAGCCAACTTCCAGTGTCCTAGTCCCCTTTCCTTCCAGAGGGCTGCATAAGCCTGATGGAGGGGACTCCACTGGGTCAACAAAGGCAAAGAAGTCGCAGTCTGGAAGCTGAGGAAGGCGCTGGACCCAGGCAAAGAGACAACTGAGGTCACTGTGTTATGGAAGAGTGTCTCAAAGATCCTGGTGCCCAGTATGTGGTACTGGGTGGATAGAGGGCTCAGGTAGCAAAAACCAGAGTGTGGAGCCCAGGATGGTGACAGAGTGGCCTGTGAAGGGGACAGAGAAAGTGGGAGTTCTGGGCAGGTCTAGGCGAGTGGGTCTGGCTTTGTCTTCTTTGTATCTCCTGAACTGGATGTGGAGCAGCCAGTTGGCCCATCCCAGTAGACAGGTCATCCCACTCTCAGGGACACTTCCTCTCTCCAGTGCCAAGGGCCAGCCAGAGTCCCTAGCTCAATCCAAAGTCCCAGGCCATGCACTTTAGTCCTTACACTGCTCTGTTACTTGGAGTGAGCCAGTCTCTTCTGTTGAGCTTCTACTTCCCCATTTGATGAAGGTCAGGATGAGGACGAAGTGAGTGTTGAACAGGAAGGAGTCGGTGCCCCTGGAGCTGGCAGTGGGCCTGGAACACAAAGAAAAGCAGTGAGGTTGGAGATGGCAGCAGAGCGCTCCAGAGCTAATGAAACGGTGGCCCCAGCAGGAATTCTGGAGCAGGAGGAGGGCCTTTCCACCCATCCCCAGCCTCTCAGTCCTCTCCACGGAGACCACAACCCCAGACCCAACTGTCCCCTCCCAGTGACTCAGGCTTTGGCTGCCCTCCTGCCCACACCCAAGCCCTTCCAGTGCCTCAGAGCAGAAAGGGCTGGAACATGGGTGTGCAGGAGGGAGGCTGCTCTGCCCAGGGGGCCCTGGTGGCCAACGAGTGGTCTAGGTGGAGGTCATTTGCACCCTTGAGGTCATGTCAGGAATGTGGGTTTGGGCTGAATGGAGCTCTGTTTTCCCTCTACCTTGACCGCTGCACACCACTTGTTTCTCACTAGTAAAGGGCAGGACAGCACCACCAGAGGGTGGTGTACATTTTTATACTGTGCTGGAGGCGTGGGGAGACAGTGCAGAAGGTGTCCTGGCTGGGCCGGGGAAGTGCAGAGGAAATGAAAGGAGCCAATCAGGGCCTGGTGGGAGCCAGGGCAGAGTCTGGAGCTACTCAGGGCAAGACTGTTAGGAGGACACAGGAACCGTGACGCCTGCTGAGTTCAAGGCAGCTATGCTAAGATTCGGCGGAAATGTGGAACCAATAACCTTGTGTTTATTAATAGTAGTAAGTAGCATTCATTTGAGGACTGACCTGTGTAAGCTGGTTCGCTTAGATTATTTCTTTAGTCCTCATAATAACTCTATTTTACAGACGAGAAAACAAAGGCCCAGAAAGTTTAAGAAAATGACCTCATTTTCACAGCAATGAAGCATTAGAACCAGGATTTGGATATCTGATATTTATGGCTTTTTCCCCAATATGCCATACTACTTTAGTCTGGTTCTTAGTTTTTTTTGTGCCATGGAAAGTGTGGTAAAGTAGATGAGACCCTTCTTAGAGTAATGTTTCTTAAAAATACCTTAGGGGCTGGGCTATAGCTCAGTGAGAGAGCACTTGCCTAGACCTTGCGAAGCCCTGGATTCCATCCAGCACTGAAGAAAAAAACAAAACCACATTAGATTCACAACGGAGCCCAATCATATTGAAATATAAGTATCAAGACATTGAACAAATGTGTAACAAGATTCAATAGCTATCATAATTTCAAAACAGTGATGTTTATAGATAATATTTTATAATATCAGCAAAAACTATAATGCAATTTCTATTGGTGACAAAGTCACAGGCACTGACAATGCCTATTTTCTTAACTGAAGGAAATGTTTCAGTTAGAGATTAGTGAAAATAAAAGTGTAATTTTTTCCCCATCAAAATGTTACAGGAAAGTTATTACAACTTGGTGTATAGTGTTGGGTAGTCTCCTTAGAAACCATTTTGCTCTGCTGGTAGGGGGTATACAAAGCACTCCTAGGCTTATTGGTGACATTTTAAGTGACTCCAGGCTTCAGCTCTGAGCTAATTTACCCCATGACCTCCCTGGGGTTTATGGTTGCCAGGTTTAGCAATGAAAGCACCAAGAGTCTCAGTTAAATTGGAATTGCAGATACACAATAGTTTGTTAGTCTATGCATGTGTGGCATTGTGTTATACTTATTATGTTATATTTCTATTGTGATGTCACAGATTAGCATAATTGTAATGGTTTAAATAACCCAAATTCATCAGCTCACAGCTGTCTGGGTCAGAATTCGGATGTAGATAGCTCAGCCAGAGCTGTTACTCAGAGCATTGCCAGCTGGAATCCAGACATGCTGTGCTCCTTTCTGGAGACCCTGGGGGTGTATTGGCTTCTTGGGTCCTTCAGGTTCTTGTGAAATTTGGTTCCTAGTGGCTGCTGGGTGCACGTTCCTCTTTCCTTGCTGGCTCTGGGCCCAGGGGGGCTCCCGGCCGCTAGAAGTTCTCCACATTTCTTACTGAGTCCCCCTCCACCTCCAAGCCAGCCTCCGAGTGTGGGTCCTCACCATGCTTCCTGCCTCTGACTCCTCACCCCCAGCTAGGGAAAGTTCTCTGCTTTTGAGAGCATGAGCCTTATCCTGCTACTTTGGATAAGTAACCTTATCTGGGTCATTTCTCTTTCGTTGAGAACTTGAATGTCTCTCACAGGCCTATGTGTTAATGAGTTGGTCCCCAGCCCAAGGCATGATTTGGAGGTAATAAAACCTTTAGGAACTGGGCACCAGTGGGAGGAAGTTACATCATTGGGAACATGGTCTTGCAGAGGACACAGGGACCCCAACCCATTCCTGTGTCTCTCTGTTTCCCCAGTTGCTGTGAGGTGAATAGGCCTGCTCTGCCATGTGCTCCTGTCATAATGTACTCCTGGCTGCCATAGACCCAAAGTAACAGGGCCAAGTGATTACGTGCTGAAACCTCCAAATTTTAAGCCAAAATAAATCTTTCCTTCTAAAACCTGCTTAATCTACCAGACATGATTGTGCATGCCTATTATTCCAGTTACTCAGGAGGCTGAGGCAGGAAGATCACAAGTTTGAAGCCATGCTGAGCTACATAGCAAGACTCTGCCTCAAAAAATACACATAAAAGTAGGTCAGTG